GCTCTGGGTCATGGTCCTCAAATTTGGCTCAGAATAAACCTCTTTAAATTATTAAGTTTGGCTTCTTTCCTGTTGACAGTGTAAATGTATCAAGTGGTCAAACTGAATTTAATTCATAGAGTCCCCCCCCTTATGACAAATTCCAAAATTACTGCTGGAGTCAGTATTCCAGGAGCAGAATAGGGTGCAGGTTAGGAGTGTGGGATTAAAGACCAAAGTCTTTAATCACCAATCTGCCTCTCAGGGGTCTGCATAAAGCACGTATTTAATACTCAAGAAATTTACAAATGATGCAGTCAAATTAATAAATACAAATGCATTTACTGACACTGACGACTTGACTGATGGAATAACCTCCCCCAGCGGCTGCTACGTCTACACACGGAGGTACCACACCTGAGTGAGTTACACTGACTTAGTATAGACATGTTCAGTAAGCAAAAGCCTTCCTACGCGACAAGTCATTCCTCTTACTGGGTCACTACTGTAAAACGAGAGAGTCAGATACGGAATTTCTGATTCTTTTCAGATCTAAGATCCATGATTCCGTCACCTCTCTTGGGGCCCACCCCACACAGGGAGGGCAGAAATGTGGCCTTAAGCAACAGCAAAAGCCAAGCAAAAGCGAAATTCTGGGCGCAAACTTCGAGCGACCAAACTAGTTCGGAGGAGTTAAGCCTGAAGTTAGGGCGGTGACGAAAGCTGATCGAGGCTGGGCGGGACTGGCGTGGACAGGGACCTCTGAACCCACGACTGGGAGCTCTGGAGTTGCTTTTCTCATGGGCCTTGGCAACTGGCCGGCGGAACACACACCCAGACAAGGAACCTGAGCCTGGCCTGGCCAGACTTCCGACTCACCGTCTCAAAATAAACACGTTAATTCAAACAGAGTCACAGTCTTCGAAATTACCTGAAGAAACGGAGCCCCTCCATTCTTGGCGGCCCCCACGGATCTCCCCGTAGAACACCACTGGCCCTCTTCCCGGCCCACTCCCGTCCGCCCAAGCCCGGGGGACCTGCAGCGCGACCGGACGGGTTCGCATCCGGACCGGCTGAGTCCCGGGATCCGGTCCCTCCGGGGGCCACAGCCGCCCCGCGCAGGACCCCGAGGCGGGAGAATGAGGTCCCGTGCCCACCTTTGTGCTGGGGTCCGCGTCGGAGCAGCAACTGAGGGCGGCCTCGTCCGTGAGGCCGCTGGACGCAGGCTGCGGTTCTGCCATTGCTGCGCTGAGGTATCACTGACCACGCGACCCAGGAACAAACCAGCGAGCCACCCTCCACCCGGCCCCTGTGCTGCCTTGACTGGAGACTGTGCGACGGCGCCGTGGGGCGGGCGGCCGCTGACTTCCAGCCAATCGCTGCGCGGAGAGCAAGTTGATTCTCTGATGATTGGGTCCCAGCGGATTAGCGCCTCCGGCCACAGGACTCAGCCTCGGACTACAACTCCCAAGGTGCCTTGCGCGCAATGGAGGCAAGCTCATTTTTTAAAAAAAAAAAAAAGAAAGAAAACTCACAAAACCTCCCGGCTGGAAAGCGGAGTTTCTCTTTTACTTAATGACCTAATTTTTGTTTCTGTTTATTAAAGTTAAACCACTCATACATCAGGCTGCAACTTTGTAGAAAATTGAAATCTGTTGGAAAGTGAGAATTGGGAGTTATTCTTTAAAATCGTAAGGATTCACAGTCTATTTTCTCAGTTTAAACAGCACAGATTAATTAAAACAACTCTGATTTACTCAAAGACCTAGGTTCAAGTTTTGGTTCCACTATAAATTAGCTCTAGAAGCTTGTAATATTTACTGACCCTCTCTGAACTTTCTAACAGGTTTTGGTGAGAATTAAATGAGATTTGACTCATGATTTGACTACTTATGATTGAGATGTCCATAACTTGCAGTATTTTTACATTAATTTTGCTAAGACATATATTGTAACTGTGTTCACCTGAAGACTTAGTCATCACTGTGTCTTCACTACAAGGCTCATTACAGTAGATGCTTAATAAGTATTTCCTGTTGTTAAAAGAATAAATAGGAATGACTGGTGTATTAATATTCACAAGGGATCTCCCCTTGACCCAAACACCTCCCACTAGGCCTCATGTTCTGTGGTGAGCTGAGAGCTTTACAATAAGGGGTTAATAAATGAAATAAGCGGTACGCCAGGGGCTGGCTAAATTATAGCTAC